TGTTTGTTTGTTTGTTTGTTTGTTTGTTTTAATTTGTATACTGCCCTTCTCCAACAGGACTCAGGGCAGTGAACAGCCAGAATAAAACAGAACATACAAAATTTAAAAAACAATTTAAAAATAATTAAATATTTTTGGCCGCAATTTAAAACAAACCCAATTAAAATCAATTTAAAATTAACCAAAACTATGGGATCAAGCCAGCCCGGCTAGGTGAAATAAATAAGTTTTCAGGGCCCGACGAAAAGTCCGGAGGTCTGGTATTTTTACGTATCTCTAGGGGGAGGTTGTTCCAGAGGGCGGGCGCCGCCACAGAGAAGGCTCTCCCCCTGGGGGTCGTCAGCTGACACTGTTTGGCAGATGGAACCCTGAGGAGGCCCTCTCTGTGCGAGTGTACTGGCCGGTGGGAGGCTATTGGTGGCAGAAGGCGGTCTCGTAAATACCCCGGCCGTAAGCCATGGAGCGCTTTAAAGGTGGTCATCAACATCTTGAAGCACACCCGGAAGACCACCGGGAGCCAGTGCAGCTTGCGCAGAAGAGGTGTCACATGGGAGTGCCCCGTCGCTCCCATAATCCCCCACGCGGCCGCATTCTGGACCAGCTGGAGCCTCCGGGAGCACCCCAGGGGGAGCCCCATGTAGAGAGCATTGAAGATTGCTCTCTACATGAAGATTCTGGTGAAGATGGGGGCCAATTGGTCAGCACAGACTTTTAAGCAAGAAGGAGTTATCTTGTCTGGGCCCGGAGCTTTTCCTGGCTTTTGTCTGTGAAATAGGTCTTCCTTTTCACGGGGGTTGTGAACCCAATGGGATGGGGTCAGTTGTAGGAGGCTTGGCTATTGTTGGTGTGCCTGAGATGGGGGTTGTGGAGATAGGTGGCTGTAGTTTCCTTTCAAACCTGCAGTAAAACACGTTCAGGTCATCTGCCAGTTGTTGATTTCCTTCAGCCTGGAAAGGAGGTTTGCCATAGCTGGTGGTATTTTTAAGAGTTTTCCACATGTTTGCTGGTTCATTTGCTGAGAACTGATTCTTTAGCTTTTCAGAGTAGCTTCTTTTTGCTGCTCTGATCTCCCTTGTTAATACATTTCTGGCCTGATTGTACAGCATTTTATCACCTCTTCTGTAGTCTTCCTCTTTGGAATGGCGTAGCTGCTTAAGTTTAGCTGTGAACCAAGGTTTGTTGTTACTGTATATTCGCACGTTCCTTGTTGATACACATAGGTCTTCACAGAAGCTGACATATAATGTTACAGTATCTGTGAGTTCATCCAGGTCTGCAGAGTTATCTTCAAAAATATTCCAATCAGTGCAGTCAAAGCAAGCCTGTAGCTTTTCAATTCTCCAGTTCAACAGTAGAAACAATCTAACAGTTATTCAAGGCACTAAGTAACATTCAGAGGAACAGAGATGTAGTAGATGATTTAAATAAAAACCTTCAAATCAATCAAATATAGCTATCAATGGCTGCAGAGAGGATAATAATGAAAATAGAGGAGATAATGGTGTAGAACCTACCGGTAGTTGCTTGATCAGTTAAAATCTTACCTTTTGTTTTGGTAGAGATTCACATTTATTCTGAAAAAGCCCCCTTGAAGATCATTCTAATAGCAAAAGGCCCTGGATAAATTTTTAAATATATACAAAAATAAGATAAATAAATTTTATAAGGTGCAAGATAAAATTACTAATTATTATAAGAGCTGCACAGAAATCATGTTCAGAGGTGTTTTTCTGACTGTCAGATGCTGAGAACCAGCAATAGAAGAAAGCTGCTATCTTCATGCTTTCTTGGGAAGCTGCCCAACATCATCTGGTTGACAACTGTTGGAAACTAAATACAAGTCTTGATAATTTTTTGCCTTAATCCATCAGGAACCTCTTACTAAATTCCTAAGCAAGGGGTATCACATGAATTGTCTAAAGTTGAATATGAATATTCAGATAGTCTGAATCATAGAATCACCTAGTTGTAAGAATCCTAGGAGATCATGAATCCAACTCTCAGCATACTCAGGATTCATTACACCATCCCCGCAGGGGTGGTATTCACTTACCTTTGCTACCAGTTCGCAAATGTGAGCTTGCGGAGAGCATCAAAAATGGGATGTGTTGACATCCGGGCAGGTGGGCGGAGCCTCCCACAGCCGCTCTACCGGTTCTCCCAAACCGGATAGAACCAGCTGAATACCACCACTGCATCCCTGATAGATGAGTATCCAGCCTCTATTTGAAAACTTCCAGTAAAAGAGAAGAAGCCACTCCATGCTGTAACCCATTCTACTGATGACAGCTCTTACTGTCAAGACTTCCTCATTTCTAATCAGATCTACATCCTTGAAGTTTCATCCCATAATAAATTATAATTAATATTTTTTTTCAAACTGGAATGTGTAAAATTGAATGCAATAGTCCAAGTGAGGCATGACCACATTGTAGAGGAGTCTAATTACTTCCCACAATCTAGACTCTTCTGTTTCTCTTGATGCTTGATGTGATTGACTTTCTTTCCAGATATATTATATTGTTGAGAATAAATATATGCACTTGGGATTCATGATTTCTATATAGAATTCAAAGAGTCATTGTGGGTCAAATTTCATAAAAACAATCCAAGATTGTTTTTTATGGAGGAAAGGAAGGAGGAAATGAAAATTTCCATGGATGGATGGGGATCTCTGACAATGAAATAGTCATATATACAGTAGTATATCACATGGATGCTTCCATCCTAACTATTAGAAGTTAGAAGGTTGAAAAAAAAATCTGTTGGCTTTAATATAGTTAAGAAGGCAAGCAAGTCCCTGCAAGTTGGACTAGAAGAAATAATTTAATTTACACTTAACACATTTATATGTGTTTAATTAAATACAGACTGGGGACTAAATTTCTCTTGGTAAAAATTAAAAAATTAAAATTGAGTATTTACATTTTTTAAGGGCAGCCCTGGAGGCTTTCAGAGACTGTATTCAGTCCTAGAGTTGAAGATACATACTTCTGCTTAAAGTTAAAATACAGTATGGCCAAAGCATTTTATGCATAAGTCATTATAAATCTGTATAGAGCAGTGTTTTTCCATCTCAGCACCTGGAGTTTATGCTGGATGGGGAACTCTGGAGAATTCTGGGAGCTGAAGTCCACAGATCTTAAAGTTGCTATAGTTGGATAACACTTGTAAAGAGTATTTTATGCTAGTTTTCTTACTTTTTCCCAATGTATCTGAGCAGTACTTTTCAAGTAGGTCCCTCAAAAACTTTAAGCAAAGTTCCAGCTCTTTATAAATCTCAAATGGGAGGTGGGGGAGGGATGGAAATGTCTGCCTTCTACTCTGTTTCCCATGGATTTCATAGAAAATACTCACATGTCGCTTTCATTTCACATGACCAATAAATAAAGGTGGGCTCTTCCTTTGAAGTGGGTAAACATTGACTATGTTTCAAAACAAAGAAAATGCTTTCTTCATTCTCATCCATGGGAGAAAAAAATGCTTGAGGCCTCGGGAAGCTCTCTGAGAGGGTTTGCTTCACTGGTTGCAGCTGTGAAATCAAAATATGGGTATGACTCAGTCCAGTGGTTAAGTTCTGCTCACTTTGAGGGACAGGCTTTGATTAAACTCATGTGTGATTTTCAAAGGTCCATATTTAGCTTGGTTGTAGACCATGATTGTATAATGAGTTTATTTAAACTATGTCTCCTATAAAATCAGATGTTGCATGTGGACTTACGTAGTATGGTGTAATCAGATATATCTATTAAACAGATGTTGAATCTTAATGACTGTGTTCTTGACAATCAATTGAAATCAGAATCTAATAACCAAGGTTGCAACTGGATATGGCTCTTTTTTATTTAATAAGATGCTCCAGTAATATAATTATAGTTAATATTACATGAAACATATTTATGAAGATTCACCAAAGTTTATGCAATGCAGACATATATGAAATCTTCCTAATACAAAGTGGTTTTAACTCATCTTTTCTCAGGCTCCAGAAAAAGCAAAGGTTATCCCCTTTGCAAATGATGCTGAAATCCTTATTGACACACTACTCAGCAGGCTTCCAATAACATCACTTTTTTTGTCCACGTAGGCCACTTCCTAAAACAATTATTCATCCACGATTAACCATGCCTCTAAAGATGGGAATGGAAACTCTATGAAATCAGCAGTACAGGACTTTGAAAAGCCCCACAAGGCAAAGCAAGCTAAACATTTTCTCTTTGTGCATTGAATCTTTGTTTTAAGTTGCTAAAAAGACTTGTTTGTCGAATGGGAAGAACTTGTTGCGGCTGCAAACACAATTACAGCTCATGGGTATAACTCCGGACTCTGATGATGTACTTGGAAAAAGTTTTAAAAGCCAGATGCATTTTTTTTCAAAGACTAAACAGATGTGCACCAAGAATGAACTTACACAAAATCATCATAGATGAAGTAAGGGAAATACTGATTTCAAAGGACTTTATTTTCTGCCAACAATTACCCACTTCCATGATTTTATATAAAGTTAGTTTGGTGTAATGGTTAAAGGAACCAGGCTAGAAATTGAGAGACCATGAGTTTGAGTCCTGCCTTAGGAACAAAGCCAGCTGTGTGATTTTGGGCCAGTCTTGCTCTCATGCGAGGAAAAGGAAAATGGCAAACACTTCTTAAATCTTGCCAGGAAAATTGTAGGACTTGTCCAGGAAGTTGCCAGGACTCAACACAGTGTTGAAGGAAGAAAAAAAAAATGGGGAAAAGTGCTCTATGCCAATCTTTGTCCATGCTGTCTTTAAGGAGTTAGCAGAGGATTGATATTTGCAAGTGTCAGTAAGGATATCTAATTCATAATAGTTTAATATATATTACACTCCCCACCCAAAAATCTAGAAGGGGTTAATTATGAACATCAATTTACATTCCTGCATTGAACACACACTGGGATGAATGTACCTGCAAAGAAATCCAAAGTAGGGTAACCAGAAACTGGCCACCATAAAATGTATGACGCCAAGGTTCACCACTCACGTAACAGTTTTATTTAGCCTTTTACAAAGGCGATTGCACTTAAAAGTTTTCAGGTAGGCTTCCTTCATGCTCCATCACATGCTGGAATAACTGACCACCTGTCCATGCAGCATATCAACAAATTCTTTTGCAAAGACATCCCATTCTTTGGTTTTAATTCTTTACCCCATTGCCTCTGAGTCCCTGATGTCCACATGGATCAACTGGTGTACTTCATTTTGAACAACTGCTGACAGAAATGTAAAAATGTTGCCACATAGTTGATTTCAAAGGAACAATAAAAACACTTCCAGAAACCTAAATGCTTATATCTTTGTAGGAATGAGTGAACCAAACTTAAAATTACCTCTTACTCAATGGTTATAACGTACACCATGTCTTTCTATATATCTATTCTGTTTGATCGTCAATAAATGGTATATTGATACATTAAAGCCATATATCATAAATTTTTTTTCTGGGTTTTTTGTTTCTGTTTCTGTTTTTTGGAATTCTATTTGCTTATTATTTCTCAAGTACAATATGCTTCTTGTGCTAAGAGCCACAGTGGTATTTTTGGGCATAGCCTTAGTTTGTATCTATTCCATATTCTCAATATGGAATGTCTAAAATAATGGCTTTTAAAACCTACATTGATCTTAACTTTGTCAATCCACAAATATCTATGCCGTTTGGTCATGTCCTTCTAATTCCTATCCCCACTTTTTCATGGATGACTGTCTACCTCACCAGAAAGGAACTGACTCCAGGAAAGCAAGCAAAATAGAATGAATATGGCACCTTAGAATGGAAAACATGTTTTCCAAACTGTTGAAGTTTGTATTGAGAAAATGATTGAAAATAGAGAGGCATACAAAATAAATGTAATGGATGATTTAAATTACTGTATACTAAAATAGACTGGCTAATGGCATATTCCAGTCATGACTAAGAGATGACATCTATAGACATTTTAAATAGTATTTGGGATCCAAAAAGAAATGTCAATATTCTGGAAGTGACTAGAAAAAGAAAAATAAAGTTTAAAAAAATTCAGCTAAAAATTGTACCTGCTCAAATTTGTGTGAAGATAAAGTCTATCAGGCTGTCAATTGCAAATCAGGAATGTGCAATGGGGTACAAGATCAGCTTCTTTCCTGTTGGTAAATCTGTGCAAAAGAACATGAATAAGACTGAATTTCATGTACAACCTTTACTGATATACTGGCCTGTTTTAAGGTTACCAGAATACTACTGTAAATGTAACCTTCTTCTGAGTGGTACCCAACACTTTTACTCACAAAGAAGTTAGCTTTTAAGTTGAATATTACAAATTTGAGTTGGATCTGTACTTGTCTATCTCCTTGACCATTTCCCAAAAGTAGCTTCAGCCATTTCTTCTGGTTCTGGAAAGAATATGCGCCAGCCATACACCAAAGACCAGTTCTATAACTATAATTAGAGAAGGTCCAAGTTTACGGGCCCAGAATCAGAACTTTAAAGAGCTTTTTCCTTGCACATAGATTTCTTTTGCACAAAGATTTCCACTCTATAGGACCATGCTATATAATATACTAAGATTAATGTATTTGTGGAAGGTCAATAGTTTCCTGTGTCAGTTGGTCTGCTTTTCCCTATACATTCATCAAATATATTGCAGTGGGTTATAGACATAAAATATATACGAACTCAGAAGGTATAAATGTGTTGTGGGATTAGGGCAACGGAATATTCTCCTTGTTATGTTGCTGATATTATAATATTATTATGGTACTAGGTTGCTATGTCCATATGTTCACTTAAAGTGTGAAAACAACTTTTATATAATTCTAAGTCCACCTCATTATATGATGGAGATACCCAAAGTTCAAAGAGAATAATTAAGTAATTGTTAACCTTGTTTTCTCATAAATAAATAAATAAATAAATAAATAAATAAATAAATAAATAAATAAATAAATATTAGAACTGAAAGACAGTAGTCAGAAGACCATAGCTTAAAATTCAATTCTTCCAAGTTATAAAGCTAAATTTAGAGGTTTCATCTTCATCTCTGACCACAGTGGCATACATGTCATATCATCCTCAAGTGTTCATCGCTTCTCTAACTAACGAGCAAGATCTTCCTATATCAGAGAGAATAAGGTTCTGTTCAGGCATAGAAAAGGCACTTGTGAATGTTGCAGGAAATGAGATCTTAAGTCAGTGCATAAAACAATCTAATCCATCACAGCTCCTCAAATGGCCCCTCATAACTCAGGGGCTGTCATACCCCTTTGTGCACATGAAGGCAGTTGTGGAAGAAGTGACGAACTGTGCACATATTCTGTTAAATCTGTTCTGGCAGCTGAAGTAATATATTTTCAGTGCCAAGTCACATAATTTTACTTTAGCTCATTTGACTCCAGGCTACAAAGCTATTCCAGAAAACAAAGGGATGGTGTTTGAATAATGAATAATAATGAATTTAATTCAGGGGCTTGTACTGGGCTAGAGCCTGTGGGAGGTTAAATGTAGATAAAGCAATGCAAAGTAAACTTTTATAAGAAAGTGAGAGTGGTAGAGAAAAATCTACATTGATGTTTCATATTGGTAACTTTGTTCTCCTTATATTAATATCTGTCTGCAATTTGTATGTACAGGCAGGTGTGTTACGGAGATGCTGCATTACATATGCAATATACTTTTATAAGTATTGCAGAATCCATACTAAGTATACACCTTCCATTTAGCTTGCTTTTTTCTTCCTTTCGTTAATTTCTTATTTCCACAATTAAGTACTATATGAAAACACGATTCATGGTAAATGATTTTTTTTCCCTTTTACAAATTTTCAAAATTTTTACAAGTTACATAATGATGTTGATATCAAATAATGACCTTTGAGTTTCAAGATTGCATTCCAATAGTAACTGTTTTCATTTTTTTAAAGGCATTTTTTAATAATCAAAGTCATGAATGAAACTATCTGTTGTAGGTCAGTTGTTAAATGTAACTGGTATTTTAAAAATGTAAACACTAATACCGGATATCAATTTATGTATTCACCAGCAGAATATATTCAATATCAAAAGCCAGAAAGAAGAACCCTGGAGAATGCTTAAAAATTATCTTCTTCCTTCTATATCTTGTTTGTTTAGCCTTCATACTGGCATTTAGTTTGGATTTTTGCAAAACAAAAAATGAAAAACTCCAAAGGATCCCCCTCCCCCCAAAATCCTGTCCTGATAGGCAGGCAGATCAACCCTGAGGCTGAACCCAAAACTGAATTGTTTGTAATTGAAGGATATATGAATGTGTGAATTAATTCAGAATATGATTATGAGGGATTATCAGCAATTGTCTTCAGTGGCCAAGAAAGGTATCTGGAACAACCCACAGTGGACACATTATTTTTGCTTTTAGCCTCAAGCAACTTGAAATGTGTTGTGCCATTGCCATAACCTCAACAAGAATCCAAAAATGTAGTTAATGGCATTGATCCGTATCTCTGGGTGCATGTGTACCCCCCGCCCCAAATAAATGTAAGGAAACAGGAATATTGTCGTCTTGAACACCAGAATCAAGAACATTAAAAGTTTTTTTATTATTATTATAGGGTTATAGTAACAGAACCTTACAATTCTAAATGATCTCGCTTAGAGTTTGTGGGTGTGTTATTGTGTCAAGTCTGAGATGCTTTCTCAAATTTCATTCTTATTTTGGGCTCAGATTTCTTTTATCTGATTTTGGCTGTTCCTCTTCTTCCTCAAGATTATTTTCAAAGCCCATTACAAATATATACCATATACTACTAAATAAATTAGGATCAGCAAGCACATTTGAAACAGTGAACTTAAAAAAAACCCTGTATGTAGAGCAATTAGGACTTTTGTTAGAGAATACTAGATTCCAGTTGGGGTGGGGTGGGGTGGGTGTGGCCAGGGTGGGCATGGCCAGCTAGATGTCACTTGTGTTGGGGGCACATGTGGTGGCCCGAGCAGTCTGCCAGTGAAAACGGGCTCCCGAGCTCTATTTTCAGCTGTGACAGCCTCCTGCAACCCTCTGCCAGTGAAAACGGAGCTCCTTCTCTGTTTCCAAGGCAGCCCCATGGGCCAGATCTAAGCACCCTGTGGGCTGGATCTGGCCCCTGGGCCTTGAGTTTAACATCCCTGGTATAGACTATACTTAGGGGGGAAAAAAGGAGGCTAGAGGAGATGGTAGGTAATGTTATTGTCCCTACCTTTCTTTAATTGTTAGCATGGAATCCTGATGAACCTTAGTTTCACTGAAACAAAAATTGTCCCTGATCCTTAATTTAATGTTTCTTTTCAGGCAATTTTATAATGCCTCACAATATCTCTTAATGGTGAAGTTAATGAATTATTTGTCTTTATGCACCTGTGTACAGCATGAAGTTTTTTTTTCATAGATTTGATTAACTCAAGTCTAATCACTTGAATTATTTGACTATTTATTCTCTCGATACCATATGAGTTTATAATTTCCATCATTTCCTGCTACTGATTGCTGTAATCCTTTCAGCTTGTTTATCATGATCAGTGGGAATTGATTATGGAAGTTGTAATCTAACAGTATGTGGAATAAAATTCCTCTTATATACTTTCATATGGGTGTGATCTTGCAGTTCTGATTCAACATTACATACAATAACAATAATAATTGTCATATTGCTTTTGGAAAACACAGCAAAACCTATTTGAAATATAATGAATTGAATGAAACTGTTAAAAAATAGGAATGCCTGATTATAAACAAAGATTGGGTAGATAATAATAATAATAATAATAATAATAATAATAATAATAATAATAATTTTATTTCTATACCGCCCTTCTCCCGAAGGACTCAGGGCGGTGTACAGCCAATTTAAAAACACAAACACAACAATGATTAAAAATTAAAATAATTAAATAGATTTGGCCGATTTAAAACCCCAAAAATTTAAAATACCCCAATTTAAAATTATTATGTTGATAGCCCGGCCTGGCGGAACAACAGGGTCTTCAGTGCGCAGCGGAACACCCGGAGGTCGGAGATCTTACGTATTTCCGGGGGCAGTTCATTCCACAGGGCTGGGGCTCCCACAGAGAAGGCCCTCCCCCTGGGTGTTGCCAGCCGACATAACTTGGCTGATGACACCCTGAGGAGACCCTCTCTGTGGGAGCGGACTGGTCGGTGGGAAGCTATTGGTGGCAGAAGACGGTCTCGAAGGTACCCGGGTCCTATGCCATGGAGCGCTTTAAAGGTGGTAACCAACACCTTGAATCGCACCCAGAAGACCACTGGGAGCCAGTGCAGCTCGCGCAGGAGGGTTGTCACGCGGGCACAATGAGTTGCGCCCATAACCACCCGCGTGGCTGCATTCTGGACCAGTTGGAGCCTCTGAGTGCTCTTCAAGGGGAGCCCCATGTACAGAGCATTGCAATAGTCCAGCCGGGAGGTGACAAGGGCATGAGTGACTGTGCGCAAGGCGTCCCGGTCCAGAAAGGGCTGCAACTGGCGGATCAGGCGAACCTGATAAAAGGCCCCCCTAGCCACGGCCATCATATGCTCTTCTAAAGACAGCCGTGCGTCCAGGAGGACACCCAGATTGCGAGCCCTCTCTGTGGGGGGCAAAGATTCACCCCCAATAGTCAGCGATGGCACCTGCTGATTATATCGGGACGCCGGCAGCCACAGCCACTCGGTCTTGGAGGGGTTGAGTTTGAGCCTATTTCTCCCCATCCAGACCCGCACAGCCTCCAGGCAGTGGGACATCACATCAAGGGCATCATTGGGGTGGTTTGGGGTGGATTTGTACAGCTGGGTGTCATCAGCGTACTGGTGGACTCTCACCCCAAAACCACAGATGATCTCACCCAGCGGCTTCACATAAATGTTGAACAGAAGAGGCGAGAGGACCGACCCTTGTGGCACTCCCCATGCGAGACGCCTCGAGGTCGACCTCTGCCCCCCTGCCAACACAAACTGCAAGCAGTCAGAGAGGTAGGAGGAGAACCACCGTAACACGGTGCCTCCAATTCCTAATCCCCTCAACCGCTGCAGCATGATACCATGGTCGATGGTATCAAAAGCCGCTGAGAGATCTAATAGGACTAGGACAGAGGAGCAACCCCTGTCCCGAGCCCTCCAGAGATCATCCACCAATGTGACCAATGTCATTTCT